TGGCTCACCCTGTGCAATCTGTGCCTACTGAACATCCAATAGCCAGCCATAATGTGAGCAACCATTAAGTCACGTGCAACAGAGGTGGGCATGGTGAGACCAGGTTTCCTCTCCTAAAAATCACCCAGCTCCCCAGATAAATGCAAGGAAGTATAGAAGACATCAACTAATGAGCATTTAAAGCAAGTGAGAAGTGGTTTCTGAGTGGTTCTTTCTTCTGTTGATGGCATTCCATCAAGGACAAACATTATGGGACTTTATAGGAGCTGGAGGGAAAACTCTTCTATTCCAGAAAAAATGTGTCTATGGGACAGTCACTCTGCCCCGTCACTGTATATTTTGCTTACTGAACTAAAGGGCTCTTTCTGCTCTTGCATTCAAACGCAGAGTGGATGTAGCACCAATTATGCAGTCAGGCACCTGTCACTATATCCATGTGCCAAACACATGGATAGGGCTGCAGAATTGGACCCTACAGCTGTGAAAAAGCAAATAAAAGATACATTAAAAGCAAATAAAATTATACATTAAATCAACCACACAACCTTGTCTGGTTTCATAGGAGCTTTATTTAATCAAGAATAGGAAATACACTGTGTTCTTTGAGTGGCATCGTAGCTTATGTTGGATCTGGGAGATTTTTGTAGAAGTGGACCTTGATGAGATGCTACAACATTGGAGGTTGCAAGAGACTTGAGACTGCCCATCCTGCTTCTGCAGCACACCTCAGCAAGGTATTTGTAAACATCAATCAAACACAGCATTCTTGATTAGCACCTTAGTAACATGACTGGGTTACTGGAGGCCTCTAGAAATTGGACTGATAAGTTATATTGTTGTAATCTTCACTTTCTATGAGCAAGGGTTGTATCTCTGAAGAAGTTCCTCCTTTTTTCTTCCGGCAGGCCCTGGTGAGCCCTGTGAGCACCGCAGTAACAATGCCTCCGAACACAGCTGCTCCGACCAACCAAGCCCAGATCTGACGGGCTTGCTGAAGATAAGGTGTCAAAAAGTCCTGGAAAGACTGAAGAGCTTGAAAAATCAAACAGAAGAAGAAAGATCATTTAACTTGTTGTAGTTAAACAACAAAGGATCAAGAGTGTTAGAAATGGTCTGAGAGCCACAGTTTTAAATAAATCTCTTCAGCCCTGATACTCTGTTTCTCAAATTTCATGTCCAAGGCTGGCAGAGTTCACTGTCCCCAGCACTCCTCATGGTTTTGTCAAAAGTTCAGACTGTAACCCAAGAAGTTATGACCAAAGGTCCTGCTAGCTCAGCATCCTTTAGCAACAATAACTGAGGCAGAAGACTAAGGAGGGTTTAAGAACAGGTCAAGTCGATTACAATGCTTTCATTAAATACTTACCCAGCCTCCAAATATATGCAGGTCAGGCATTTCCTGAACCAGATGTGGTGTCGTTGTGTGTAATAGTCACTGGAGGATTTTTTTCCTCCTTCTTTTAAAGCTGCTCATTGAACTTTTATCACAACTTTTAGCAGCGAAAAGATCCTGCCTTAACTACATATTGAGTGGGGAAAAAAGCTTCCTTTAACTAATTGTCAACCTGCATTCTACTTGCTTGGACAGTTCCTATGTGGGGAGAGGCAGTAGATAACTATTCTGTGGTCATTCTGCACAAGAAATCCTCTTTCCTTTGTGAATCCAGGGCTGCTTCTCACTCTTTCCTTTGTGAATCCAGGGCTGCTTCTCACTGTTAGATGATCAGCTACCTTCTTGCTTTGTGATATGAATGTGTGTGCCTGTGTCTGTTTTTCTTGCCATGGCTTAATGAGTTATGAAAACCCTGCCAATACAGGGCTCTCACTTCATAGCAGAGGCTGGAAAGAAACCTGTTCAAAATGCACCCAACAACGCTGGCTTGAATTTGAAAAATAGGAATACGTGTCTGCTTGGGCTAAGGAGGATTTGGAATCCACATCTCCCAATTACTATCTCTAAAGGCCATTATTAGCAGTAATTACTAGCTAGTAGGGAAAAGAAAGAGTACCTCTATGGGCACCTTCTCTGGAAACTCTTATGGTGGTTTATTTTTGAATGCTTTTTATGCATCTGGTCTGATTTAGATGTACTCAACCATATTTAGAATGTTGTACCCCCACAAAGGCTGTAAATGTCTTCCTGTTATCTTGTATTTTCACTGGTGGCCAGAAAAACAATCCATATATCCTCTTGGGTCATGGTACTTCCAAGATTGTGGTGTTACAGGCACTGTGCTCTGAAAAGATGCTGCACCCCTGGGCCTGGGTGAGGGATGTAGCCAGGAAGCTGCGGGGTTTGGTGTGGCCCCCTGGCTACCTGCTACTAGTATTCCAGGTGGAAAGGGATGAAACTGAAGGAGGAAGTCCCAGGGTAATCTAGAGAGACTTCAGGGCACTGGAACATTGAATTAAAGGAGTAGGTGTTCAGGTAGTATTCTCCTTCATTCCTTCAGATTCCCTCAGTAGAGGAAAATACTGAAAGAAATAGGAACACCCAACAGGTCAATACATAGCCAAGAGCCTGGTGCCATAGGTGGAATTTTGGGATTTCTGTCCACAGGGTGGTTTACACAGCACCAGGCCTGCTCATGTTGAATGGGGTACACCTGAGCCAGAGGGAGAAAGGGATCATGGCCCAGGAATTAGCAGGGCTGATAGACAAGTCTTTAAACTAGGCACGAAGTGGGAGTTTCTTGTGTGTTTGCTGTTCACTGGTTGTGTACCGCTGGGTGTTCAAAGGAAATACCTGTGAGACTTCCACAATCAAAACTTCAAAGATGTGCTAGGAGAGATTCAAATTATGGAGTCACTCAGCTTTAAAGGTACTGTTACTTGTCTTTGTAGTGGTGAAAAATTCACAGCTCCTACGTACTTCATCACTCTCCTCATTATTACAG